TTCCCCTAACGAACGAACCCGCCCCTCTTTGCTCTGTCGTCGCTGGACGAAAAATCAAAGACTCTCTCAACCATCTTTCTTTAGGGGTCTCTCTCTATAGACAATTTTTCTTTCTTTAGGGGCCAAGACTCTTTGCTCTGTCGTCGCGAACTTTGATCACGCTCGTTCGCCATGAATGAAGCAGTTGCAGAATCGAAACGCCAGAAGAGGTTAGGCTCCATAAGAGAAGACGGCATCTCTGCTCCCTTAATGAGGTTCGCTTTCTTCTTCTCCCACTCTCTTTGGACCTCGAAGGCCATGGAGAGGTCGTCACGGCCCTCGCCTGATGGCTGACGAGGGTCACAAAAATTATCTACGTCAGTGCTAGCCACATCAAAGATTTTCGCTAAAATTGGCCGGATGAGCTCAATTGGTAAAACGTGAAAAGGTTTAGGATTTGATTGGCATAATTAAAAAATTTAGGATTGAATTGACAAAAATGCAATAAATTTAAATTTTTTTTAATAACTTATAATAAGTGGACCCTTCATTCAAAATCGATAACGTACTCCATTTCTAAGAGACACGAAAGGAACTTCGTGTTGAAGGCTTTGCTGTAATTGGATGTCTTTAGGACATTTAACCTTTCATAACTTATCGTACTTTTTGAGTACTATTTTTTTTTTGGTCTGATTTTTGAGTACTATTTAGGATTGCTTTTTTCAAATTTATAATCTATATGTTTCATATTTTGTAATCCGTTGTTTAAAATAATTTACCAGTATGTTTCAGGGTACACATGAAAAATATGTTCGGATGCAGTTCTAGTGTTTCTTTTGCCTATAAGCATGACCGATCCGTTTCAAAACATCCGATCATAAATCTCTCGATTTTTCGTGTCGAGTTTATATTTCTCCAACATTAATCGATTTCACGGAATTGTCCATTCTATCACCGGTATGTTATAGGATACACATGAAAAAACAATTTCCGATGCAATTCTAACGTCCCTTTTGCCTCTAACCACGGCCGATCCATTTCGAAGCATCCGATCACAGATCTCTTGATTTTTTTCGTGTCGAGTTTACGTTTCTCCGACTTTAATCGATTTTACAGAAATTTGTTCATTCTGTTTGCAGTCCCTGGACAAGTCGATTGACTTCTTTAGTGCATAGGACAGCCTCTCTAACTATATAAAGGCCTTTCGCAAAATAAGACAAACCCTAGATGTCCCCCCCACTTAGTAGAAAGCTGAACGGAGAGGGTCGAGCATGGACCGATGGAAGTGCGGGTGGGAGGAAGGAGAAGGACCCAGTAGGACTTTGCATTGGAACCGTGGTGTACGTACAGAATAAAGATGTAGCAAAAGATCGATGGGGTGATCGTAAATTGCTGTGCGAGACGTCATGCATGGGGAATCTATTCACATGCACAGCAGCCGCCTCCTCCTCCTCCCCTTTCAATGTCTTCAAGGTCAAAAAGGAGTTCGTCATGGCGATGATCCTCTCCCAAAATTTCCAACTTTGTAGGTAAAGTTCCCACTCGAGTATCGAATGGGACACCCGGCAGACTCATCAAAGGCCGGAAAGCTTGAAGAGAAAGCTAATGTATGAAGTGACTAGGTGGTGGTGATTTTCTTTCTGCTCGATTCTGTCCGTGAACTTACTTTGTATTTCTCCTGGCCACATTACTTCTTACGTACGGTGCAATTTTCTAGTCCCAATCTGGATTCCGAAAACGACGGATAGGTCCCGGTCACACGGTATTCCTTCGTAATTGGATTGCCATTCGATGCGGTTCTTCCCTGATCATAAACGTAAACATCAAAAGCCTCGCCGTCGTTGCAGGATGGATAGAGACGCCGTTATTGTTGCAAAGAGCCCGAGAGTCGGGACCCGTTCCTCCTAGAGATGGAGGATTGTCCTCGCAGGATGATGGACCCGCGGGATGCCCATCCAGCTCTCACAGTGAGATGTGGGGGCGGGGATGAGGACGGGGTTCCGACTTCCCACCCCCCGCGCGGGGCACATATGGGGGACTTCCTCGACTTCGTCCTGCCCCATACCCTCCCGGCCCTCCAAACTAAGCTTTTACGCCATACCTAAGTAGATTCTATGATACGATTACATTAGCATGATTTCACAATTTCTTCTTTTATCGCGTACAATTTCGAGTTAGATACAGTAATTTTCTTTTCTAAGAAAAGAATTTCCCGGGTCAAAAGCCCGCCGCCTTGACGGGCGAGCGTCGGTGCGAATCCGGCGCTGACCAACCGTCGGAATTCGGCGCTTTCCTATGCATGCATCGGGGTTGTAATATTATGGCGATCACGAGAAGGTGCTGGGGGGCAACGAGGACACGTGGCGCCTCGTAGCGAATCTTTTACCGAATAAGTATGCCCCCACGGGGGACCCACTCGATGCCCCTCGTTATTGCCTTCTCTGAATTTCAACGTTTTTGTCGAACTCAATCGAGTCGTTCGAGGACATTATAGAAAGATGACGACTCTGGCGGATCCGCGTGACGTCACCGGATCTTATGGGGAAAAGTTTTGACATTGCAGAATACCACCAATTCCATGGTAGGTTTTAACCACAAGAGATTTGTGGCCCCCTTTCGGACCACAAGATGTGATCCCGAGAGGCGCAAGTTGATGGAGTGAGGAGAGTGCCGCAAAAAAATGGTAGGTTTTATCTCGGCTTTGCCGACCTTAGAATCACCGTAGTATTCTTTTTTCTTAGGAAAAAAAAAGATACAAGGAAAAATGAAGATGCAATACGTACGGATATCGACATGTTAAAATAGTAAACGCATTCATAGAGTCCGCCTCACATGATAGGGACAAGCCGTGAAGCGAAAGCTCTATTTCTTTGGTGAGGTTCACTCTTAACCAAACACCAAGGATTCAAGGAAAGGCCCTAATTAAGAGTTTATCATTTGTTCACCCAAAAACAAAAGTAACTAATTAATTAATGAAAAACACCAATCAGATTTGCATCGGAATTTGGGTAAACGACATACATGGCCGTCGAATTTAGCCCGATGTGCAAAGTTGTCCCTAAATTTATGATTTATTCGGTGTAATCCCCGAATTTTTGGTAAATATTCAATCTGATCGCTACATTATTTAGAAAGATATCCAATGTCATCCTTCATTAATTTTTTTTTGGTCGATTCCTTCATTAATTCAAGTTAACGATTATCATATTACAATTTAACTTGAATATCCTATGTCGATAATATGCATGTTACCTTACTTTTTATCCACCATTTAAATGTACTAGATTAGAAGCCAAATCAGCAAATTCGATTAACTTGAATAAATAGAATGGCTACTTTGAACATTTTCATATAGTTTAGGGTCTAAATTGGACGTATATCAAAATTTCATGGACCACACTAAACAAATTAAAAGCTAAAAATTAATATTGCAAATTGAACTAAAGTTTAAGGGCCACATTGAACACGTAAAAAAATTTAGAGATCACATTAGACACTTGATCAAAGTTCAGGGATTTCGATGAAAAAAAGAAAAGCTCAAGGACCATTTATGTCATTCTCCCTAGAATTTTATTAAAAATTCCCTTGCTAGCACGTGATAGGTGGCTAATTACAAAAAAAAGAGAATATTTAATCTTTTTTATCATATCATGTATAATCAGTACTTAAAAAAATCGTATCCACCTTGATTTGAGGTCGTGCAACTCCACGCGGCTAACACGCCAGGGAGAGCTCGATGCGGCAAAAGGAATTCGAGTCTGGGATCTCAAGCTCTAGACGTCGGATTCGACTCGTCGATGTTGTCCTAGCCAAGTCGAGTTCGAGTTGTGGATTTCCATCAACCGGAGCAGCCTCACTAATTTTTGTCTTGTAATCTAATGAACATAGATTGAACCCTAAAGTGACAACACCAATCTTGCTTTATGAAATTGGAAATATTGCTTCTTCTTCACATAAATAATTGTTAAGCAAGAACCAAATAATGCATTTGCTAGTGCTAAGTGTAATGTATGATTGAGACTTGACAGTTAATCATGGTGATAAGCAAAGATTCCTTGGGTTGGTATTTTTCACTTACGGACAAGATATTTTACCTAACGGGATTACGAAGATTTCTTGCGCTTTATGCCGTTGTCAAAAAGTGAAAAAAGAGTTAACCAATCATCACATTCCACGTCACCAATTTGTTCCTCTGTTTTTTTTTTTAGTTTTCCTTTTTTCTTTGTTTAATACCATGAAAAACTTTAAACTGGTACATCTAATTTTTTTACTATCAAAAACCCTAAACTGGTAGATTTATGACAAATTTACTCGAGACAGTTTACGGGTATATCAGTTAGGGGTTTTACCCTTTCGTTTGTTACAAGTTTATCAATCTGTAATTTTTCGTGGTATTAATCCAATTTAACGGAAGGTAAATTTGATACACTTTAGAGTTTTTTGTGGTCAAAAAATTAGTTTAGATAAATTTGTCATATGTGTACCTATTTGAGATTTTTTATGGATAAAATATTAGTTTGAGATAAATTTCTCACAAATATATCGGTTTTGGGTTTTTCGTGGTATTAACCATTTTTTCTTTGTTGCAAATTCTCTTAAGTTTCTTGGTCGTTTTTTCTTCATCACAATTAACAGTATCGCCAAATAAGTTCAGAAAGAATCTTGTTGAACAGGGGAGATGCCCTTGTCGTGATGATCATCGACCCGCTATTGTCCAGACTCATTTTGTCGTTGCCGAACGAAATTACACGTTGGCCCAGGAATCCGAGAAACGCGAATTTTCGGTACGAAAGTACAATTAGCTGTATTTTGATACACTAATCAATCATCCAAAATGTGAGATCTACAGATATGTATGTCTGTGGATACTAACGGTTTAGCAGTAACAGTCAGGCACTGTAGTTTTGGCTACATTTCCCCATCTCAATCTCATGCATTTTGCTGGTTTTTTTTTTCTTTTAATACGAATGGATATTGCATATTGCATAAAATGGGGAAGCGAAAGCAAGGGCAGAGGATTGAGATACTCCACTACCCACCGTGCTCTGCCTCCTTCCATCCGCCTCTCTTCTCAGGAACAGAGCCTCCAGAAAAGAGCCAAAAAAAATCGAGTGCAGTTCGCCGGAGATTGGTTCTGCAATTCCCCGGGAGGCGGTGGAGGGTCAGCGTTTCGAGGGTGCAGATCTCAGACCCTTCCTCCTCTTCATTTCATTCCCCTCTCTGTCTCTCTGTCTCTCTGTCTCTCTGTCTCTGTGCCACCTACCGCTACAGAAAGCCCTGCCTCGTCCTCTGTTCTTCTTTGCTTTTCTCCAAAGAATCCGTCTCGCCCCCCCTTCATCGACACACATTGTGTTTTTCACTTCATTCGTTGCTCTGGTTACTCAAAAGGGTCCACTTCGGCTTCTCCGGTGGAACAAAATCTTTACTCATTTTTGCTTCAATCCGCTAATTGGGTAGTCAGATTTCCGTTGCTGTAGGAATAAGGGGAGGAAGTTCCGACATGGGTGTGCTTAGCATCTTCACCAATTCTCTCACTGTGCTCTCGTGCCTTGTTTTACTCTCCGTTTGCAGAGGTGTGTAACATGGATTTTACTCCCTTGTGGCTTGTTGAGCTGTCATGTGAGCTGCGTTCCGTACATTGTCCCTGATAAATTTTCTTGTGGACTCTCTGCTTTGGGACAGGTGCTTCCGGGGCAACTTTCACATTTGTGAACAAGTGCGACTTCTCAATCTGGCCAGGGATCCTATCTAGTGCGGGCAGTCCCAAGCTGGCCAGCACCGGATTCGAGTTGTCTAAAGGCGGGTCGAGGTCCTTCCAGGCACCGACAGGGTGGTCCGGCCGCTTCTGGGGGCGTAGCGGCTGCGATTTCGACGGCTCGGGCCGTGGCTCGTGTGCCACCGGCGACTGCGGCTCCGGTGAGGTCGAATGTAACGGAGCCGGCGCGACACCGCCGGCTACTTTGGCAGAGTTCACGCTCGGCTCTGGCTCTCTGGACTTCTATGATGTGAGCCTGGTCGACGGGTACAACTTGCCCATGATTGTTCAGGGCACTGGCAAATCAGGTACAAGTAGTGTACTTTCTTGATTTCGAGGTTTGACTCGTACGTTTTTCTTGATTTTCAGGTGAATTACAACTCTCTTTTTTATTTATTCGTGTTTGATGAAGTGCTTTGAAAATAGATCAGCTGAATCCGTGAAGAACTCTCGCTCTTAAAAGTGTACGATTTTTTTGGTAAAGATTGGATTTTTTTTCCTTTGTGATTGAGACGGTTAGCTGAGAAAAGAACGTTAGACCTAACAGATCTTTAGGAGATAATGTTAGGTTCTTGTTAACTCAACTTGAGGGTGAAAAGGTCAGATCAGTATGGCGGGATGAAGTATTTGAGAAAACATCAGAGTTTTCGCCTTGAAGCAAGGAGTTCCATTTTTGTTCGTAGCTCTGAATTTTTCCGTCTTCAATCAGTTCGCCAACACCGTGTCACGAGCCTGTTGAAATCTACGTCAAGATGCAAGGGTTACACTACTTAATTGAAATCGACGAACAAATTGAACTCGAGATGTTTAGAGCACTTCCAAATCAACCTACTTTTCGACCAACCTACATGCGAATCGCAGTTTCCTTCTCGAGTTTGTACTCATTGGTGATTCTTGTGTGTGAACTTTAGGTGCTTGCGCCACCACCGGATGCCAGACAGACCTGAACCTACAGTGCCCGAAGGAGCTGAAGGCGGAGGATGGCACGGCGTGCAGGAGCGCCTGCGAGGCGTTCGGGAGCCCGGAGTACTGCTGCAGCGGCCCATACAGCTCGCCTGCCACCTGCAAACCCTCAATGTACTCCCAGATATTCAAGACAGCATGCCCCAAATCATATAGCTACGCTTATGATGATGCCACCAGTACTTTCACTTGCAGTGATGCTGATTATACCATTACATTTTGTCCCATCTCTCCACGGTAAGTCTGTTTTGTTCTTCTATCACTTTGATTGAATTTTTTTTTTTTGTCACGAGGTTGTAATTATCTGATTGAAGAAAGTTTTCGGTTTTTGACTCATTTAGTTCAGAGAATGGTCATGTATATAATAACTAGTTGTTTTTCTCCTCAAAAGTTAGAAAATCACAATTTCTTTTCATACTTTCGGAATCTGCATAAAATGGGAGGAAATTGACATCACAACCTTTTCAAGATTGAAGGAACCTTCGTTTGTCTAATTTTTCCCCGTAACTTCCATGTGATGCCCTGTTAGTGCATGCTGCAAAACTAGACTTCTAATTGACATCATTTGATTTGGAATTTTATTCCTGTGCAGCCAAAAATCTGCCACAGACTCTTCTCCTCCGAAGACAACCGAAACAGCGGAGAACCCGGATTCGGAGTCAGGATCCGGGTCTGAGTCTGAGTCTGGGTCTGCGTCAGTGTCAGATCCTGCCCCGGTTCAGGAGACTGCATTTGCCACTTCATGGCTGGCCAATTTGGCAATTGGTGACTCTACTAGAACCCAACCTCCCACAGCAGTTCAATTAGCAATTTCTCTAGCAGTCTCACTCACCCTCCTCACCATCTCACACTTGTAGTCCCTCTCTCTTTCTTTCACTTTCCTCCCGCTTTCCTGCAGAACAAGAGAATAAGAAAAGATACCCAAAACACAGAGACTTCGGTATGATGGGTATTTGCTTAGAGTGGAAACAAAGTTGGCAGGATCCAGATTGTAAACCTCACTTCCCATTTGGCTTAATTAATGATAATCACACAGAGGTATTAGATAAAGCATTCATTTTGGAAAGAGAAAGAAAGATGTCTCTTTTTGTTTTCTGTCTGTCCTTTTGATTTGTTTCGACTCGTCCATGGGACTGACTGAAGAACCACCATGCTCGCTAGCTCGGGAGTAAAGGCAAAGGAATCAAGTTGCAAAGCAAACATTTTGGACCCAGAAAAAGGAAAAGAAGGAAAGAAAGGAAACAAATGTCTGAAATTTTGATGCTCTTTCTTTGCCTTTTCTCTTTTATTGGTGGGAGGGAATGTGAGGATGAGAAAAGTGAATGCTTTTTGGAGGTGAATCTGAGTGGATGGGTGGAGTGGATGTGGAAGTCCACTTTGCGAGAATTCCAAGCCTCATGAATAAAATATATGATCAGTCTCTCTAAGCTGAGAAGCAGGACTTGGGACTATGCCTTTGTTTTTGCTTCAAGCTTTGCTCTGCAAGATGAAGTGGAGTAGCGTAGCGATTCAGCAACATAAGCACGCATAGAGCCCCTTTTGACGTGCTTTATGTTATTTCGACTGCAAACACTCTATTCACCTTGGTATCTGGAGCTGAATTCTTGGAGTTATGTCAACGATTATGGTCCTCAGTTATTGCAAAACTACTTTAGACATAGCGGTAGGACTCGAATTATGACGATAACCCAATACACGAGTGCGAAATTCTTTTTCCCTGAACCAAGAGGATCCAATCTAGCTCTAATAATCTTCTTACTCAAAGTATGCTGTTGGATGAAATGAAAGGTCAGGACCTTGGGCAACATGTTCAACTTAAAGTTGCAAACTTGCAACTGATTGTTGATAAGACCCATGGAGGGGACCCAATTTAGAAAAAGCTCAGGTTGGGCTTCTTTTATGCCAAAATGATCTACCAAGAGATATAAAAAAAAGTGGACGGGAGATGTTCTGGGGTTATATAATGGGGCACTGACCTTATTCCTTCTCAGTGCAATCATTAAGATGTTGATTTGCATTAGAGTCCAACCATTCCTCTCAAATGCTCTGTTGATATCTGGCATTTTGCAGATTTCAAACCATATAATGATGTCTGCAACGCGCATGGCATCTTAAATTAAGGTGATCGGAAGAATTCAAGAAAATCTCAATTAGGTTCTTGCCATCTTGAGCTTAGTGGAGGTCGGCACGACATTGTTGCAAGACCATCGCATACTTAAACATCAGTCTAATATCCTTTCACTATCTTTAACCATGACAGCCAATGGCTTCTTCGGATTATGACGGTAGCTTGCAGAGAAAACGCGAGGCTTTTACTCCACTCATCAATCATGACTAATACTGACGAATCTTTCTTAGCTGGGAAAGAACAAAATATTCGAGGCCCTCTGCTTTCACATTCATGCCCCCCCAAGAAAAATTTCTGAAAACTACATGATGGTGGTCGGTCGAGTGTACAAAGTTAGAGATCATTCAGACATCATTGTTGCTTTGACAAGGAAGCAAACATGGACATATACGGAAGAACAAGATAAAGGAAGATAGGAAAAGCTGAAAAGGCCAAATGCAAGGAGGCACCTCCGAGACATGACATTGGATTCCAGTTTGGTGGTCCTTTAGACGATTGAGTCCTTACCCCAGCGTCTGTGGGGCTGAAATGAACCAAGCTAAAAAGAAAAAATCAAGACTACCGCGACTTTTTTTGTTCTTGTGGGAGATAAGAGAGAGATGGCTTTCAAGCCTTTTCAATATCTAGGACCTTTGCAGAATGAACCAATATTGTTTGAGCGCGAGTGAGTGGAGAAAGTAATAGAATCTAATAACCTAATTCATCAGTAGCTCAGTATTACCTCATCATCGTCGCTGCGTCCAAGGGTTTCGCTAGATATATGGTTCGATAACTATGTTCAACGCATCTAGATTATACCATGTGTACCCTTGAACTGTGGAGCTCAACTGATTGAATGGTTCATGACTTTCCAACATACATAAATTGCTTTGGCTCTATAAAGCACTCGGTTTGAAGGTCGATGCCCACGTTCATGGTGTTAGTGCAATAGCCCATGGTCACTGCGATCGCGACGATATACCTATGGTATCCACTTTTGTGATCATCGTCCAAAAGGAGAAATAAGAAGATATATTAGCTTTGTTAGGTGAAGGGTAATGCTTGTTCATTACTAATTATAAATTTATGCATCTCGTAGATAGGTTTCTTTTTTCAGGAGAAGATGAGAATCTTCCATCAAAGTTTTAGGTTCATTCACATTTGTCCTGTGTCTACGTTCAAAAGGGGAATTGCTTGAACATGGCATGCTCTCTGTGCTCTGCAATTTAGTTGGCCAAGCATGAACCACAAGTCATGGTCACAAATGGGTCATTTTGATGTCAATACAATCATGGATAAGGCAGAAATAAGAATGGAGAAAAGAAAATATGGGTTAACTTCAAGAATCATTCTGGAGTGATCTTAGATTAAATTTGAAGAGTGAGCAGGGTATATGGAACAATGGACAAATCTTTCTTTCACCATCTGAAATCAATGAGCAATCAAGAATGAGACTCAAATTTTCAATCACTAATTTTTCTTCACAACTAATGCTCATATCCGAGGCCAGTGAATTGAAGAGCATATGTACATACTCGAATTCATTTATTCTTGGAAAGTAATAAATAAATTCCCCTGAAAAGAAAAAGAGAAGAAGATTTCTCAGGATTTGCTTGATGCAGGATTAATTTTCATCCGCCATTCGAGCCTTGGATTTGTGCTCGGTGCACATCCTGGCATATACGCTCTTTGTCCTAATTGTGAGCAACACGTCGAGCACAAAACCGAACGCGCAAGCCAGGCCCATGATCACGAACACGAGCATATAACACTGTGGCCCGACACAAGCGTTGCTTCCTCCGTCGCTAATGGTGGCTTGAATATCGTAAAGATGACCCGCAAGCAGGCCAGAGAAGAGGAAAGAACCTAGTGGAAGATTGAGAATTAGGATGTTGTACAGAAGGCCATAGTATTTGAGGCCAAACAGCTCCGATGCGATTGGAACAGTCACGGTGAGGCGGACGCCATAGCATATGCCCACCAGAATCGAGCCCATGTAGAACGATCCTGGCAAGGCCACGGCAAGGATGATGTATCCTAGAGTCATCAGTATCTGTGAAGCCGCATTCCAGATAGGCCTCGGTGCTCCATGCTTCCTGCAGACAAACAAAACACGATGAAAATGTTGAGAGAAAGCTCATCTTCAAGAATATGTTCGGTCCTCAATTCATAAATCGAAAGCTGGTTCTATTCACTTTCAAACACATGTAAAGCTAAAGAGTAGAGCCTACCAAATATAGTGCTCTGACACCAATCCCGAGATGATCCTCCCAAAGAATCCCCAGATGCTGGTGAGAGAGACGAAGATCGACACATCAACGTAGCCCAGCGCGAGCCCCATCTGTCCCATGTTGTTCATGAAGCACATTCCCGTGCCCACCCCGCATAGGAACGATACAAAAAGTATCCAGAAATCGACCGTCTTCACCATTTCCAAAACTGTGTGATCCTCCCCAATCATTGGCTGGCGCTTTGCCTGGACAGATCCTTGAGCGGCAGTTTCCATCACAGTCACCAAATCTTCTTGCCTTGTTGGTGGGGCAATAAGTGGCTGTCTGATTGCTTGTTCAATATCGGAATTTGGTTTTGACACGGACATACCAAAGTATACGGGAACACCTAATGGCAGAGCAAGTAAGACTACTAGTCCTATTGCAAATGCTACAGAAAGAACGGGACCATGACTACCACTAATGTCAAAGGCCAATAGATAGGAGGCCAGAACAATGGCGATCACATTAAAGGCATTCAAGTGCTGCGTCTCACTCTTTTCTTCTTCAGGCGTGGTTTTATGGAGGAAAACAGCGGCAACCAGGCAGATTACTGTGGGAACTACAGCAAGCATGAGGAGGAAAGTGGACGGGTCGGAGGAGAAGAGAGCGGCACAAACATCGGTAAATATCGCTGTGCTTAGCCCCACGTATCCCTTGAGAATCCCTGAGACCGGTCCTCGGCTCTTAGGGAAGTTCCTCATGCAAGTCACTAGAACGGCCGTGTTCATCCACGTCGTGCTGTTTCCGCCCATGCACAGAAATATGCACATCTGCATAGACATTGGCAGGGACTTAGATCTGAACAAAAATCACCTGTTCCAAATTCCAACGAAGTAATACTACTAATGTTCTTCTGGAATCTACAGAGTCAAAACTACTCTTAATTTTCATTTTCAAGCTGCATAAAATGCTCTTTATCAGATTCTGTGCTTATGCTGATTAGTTACTCTTGTGCAGTTGTGCTATGGTGTACTACATGCACGGTCTTCGTTTGCGAAAATCGCAATTACCCTCCTGGGAGTTTGTTTGAGCTGACAATCTTTTGGTCATTTTGCGTCAAGATAACGTTTAAAACTTGACTGAAGAAGTCATCATGACTCAAATAGATTTTTAAACGTGTAGAAAGACCCAAAAATAGTGAGCCTGACATGATTGACAGGTGCAATTTAGTTTTTATTGTATGCCGAACGTGTACCTCTATTATCACTGAACATAAGAGTGGTCAAGAAATGCAGTAATGCACTTGACCTAACTAAAATGAGAATACATTTTAGAGTACAATTGAAAAAGCGCAGCCTGTGATTTCCACGCAGGAATGGTAGGGACATAGCTTACCTGCCAGTAGGGAAGAGGGCTGATCCGCTGGCTCACGACAAGCCATTGAGCTCCGTAGCCTATTAGACCCTCCAAAGATCCAATTAGAAGTATAATCCACGTTGGAAATCGATCCGAGGCAAGGCCAGAGACTAGCCCAAACGCCTTGCCGACATCTTTAGCCACAGATAGATTGTTGAGCTCGAGCTGCGTGAGTGCCATGAGAGATTTGAGCGCATCGGAGTAGTTGGAGAACGTGTAGTTGTTGCCTGCAATGGCTTGGACCCAAATTGCAGTCACAAATCCTAGCCATTTTCCAGCAGGAGACATCAGAGATAATGAAGGAAACATCTACTAAAGATTGAAGAGGACTTGGATAGATTTTTCTTGTTTGGGTTTGAGCCATGAGGAAGTGATGGACAAGCTTATTTATACCTTCGACAGTGCATTCATTAATGAGATAATGATAAGTTTTGTCTTGTTTTAATTGATTGGAAGAAAGACGGTTTTGGGATCAAAGGGCAGTACATGGTTTTGCAGTTTCAGGATTGTGACGTACTTGTGGAGAAATTGGATTAAACCAAGTCAAGTAATGCTGAAAGTCCAAATAACAAGTGGGCACTCCTGGTCTTTCTTTTTTATTTCTGAGGTCTTTCCGGTCAAGACGCAGTCCCAAAACAGAAGGCGATGGCTTGAATTGCTAAACAAAACAGCTGATGCTAACTAGCTGGACTGCTTATTTTTGATCTAGTATGAGCTGAACATATTTCCGAAATCAAGTCCTTGAACAGAGGATATGGAAAGTGGCCTTGCCCCTTTTGGAGATCTCTACTTTTGAAAAGATGTGTCAAAGAACTAATCAGAAATGCGATTCTCAATTTTTGAACAAATGATCTTGGGTGGTTCAATTATAAGCTAGAATCGAGATCTTGCAATTTGTCTGGCAATTGGCTCAAGAAACCTCTCTCGAAGTCAAATCCTACTTACTACTTACCATCATGAATCCGAATGAGCGACATGGAACTTGCATGCTTCCGCTAATCAAAATAGGATGAGAATATCATCTGTGAAAGTATTTGATTTCTTATAATAGTTCTAGGATACCGGCATCTTGTTTTCTGCTAGCAGTTGTTGTAAGGACAAGATGCGGTCCAATTTGAGGTCTGATAGATCGAAAGAAATGATAAATGTGAAAAACTAATGGAACAGAAGCAGATGGAGACAGAGAAAGTAGATCAGCTTGCAAATACAGCTTCCTCTTAACTGCCTAAAGCCCCTGAATTTTCCAAGGAAGCGCCCACCACTCTGTGTCTTGGTTTGCTTTCATGACTCGGATGTAGGCCCACTCGCCAATACTTGTATAGTGGATCTGAAGAATACATGCTATTTGGTGAATAAAACAGAGATTTGCATATATAAAGAAATAAGAAAAGAGTACACAGGAACAAAAGGTGCTAAATTATGGATAAAGTCGACCGTATATTACTACCAAAACCCAGTTCCTTTTTTTCTTTTATTGACAATATTTCATTATTTACCTTAGCTTTATATTCGCAACAGCACCATAGTAGCTATTTAACCAACAGCGTGCCACGGTTCACCGTTAGAAATATGTGCTTTGGCCCGCGTTAGAATTCCAATAGGCAGTTCAGCTCAGGCTATTAAATCTCGGGTAAAAATGTCGACTCACATGGTATGCAAGCTCCGGAATTGGCGGTCCATGTTGCTGCTACCGTTTTTTAAGATTGTTTTGTGTGTCCTGGCAAGTTGGTAAAATGCATAATCTGTATCAGGGTTAAATAGAATTGAAATACAAATTACCGCCCCTACATTTCGTCGAATGCCATTTTGAGAGGAGAAGAGTCCGATCAGTTTCGACGGCAATGCATTGAGGTCACTCGTCCAACACTACTGCAAGATCTGCTAGGCAACTACATGCATCTCCAGGTAAAGGAGTAGTGAAAGAGCCATAATGTTCGTCAATTTTATAAATTTTTCCATTGAAGAATTTACAGCTTCACGTATCCACAAAAGAGTCCCCTGAAACACCTCAGAGTTCTATAAACTACATAATTCACAATCCAAATGATCCTTCCCATCAAGAGACTGGACAGCCTTCAACGATGACCCCTTTAGCTGTAGGACAAGAGGCTAATGGACATCGATCAGGATCTTCACCCCACCAACTGAGGCTAACATGCTTCATTCCCATACACAAGTACAGGAGGACGGCCATAAAAGCTAACCCAGCATCAAGTGCACCCGACAGCACATAGTTATGGCAACTCCACCAACCTCGATAGCACCGGTAAGCAAGGAATGCCGATAAAAATCCGGCGATGATCCAACTGGTGTAGTTAACAGCAGTAGCTGGAGGCATGTTTACTGTAGTGCCAAGGAGCACGGGCATTGTGATTAGTCTAATCCACCCCTTGTTTGGAAAGGCCTTATGTGCAAGCCAAACAATGAAAGGAGCTATGACCCCTACCAAGAAAAACCAGTTGATGGAAGAGTAGAAGCCGAGATCTCCAAATATCCTGCGGGGCCCAATCAGACCCCAAATGACTGAAGCATAAAAAAATACATGGTCATGAGGGCAAGTCCATGGACTGCCTGCTGGAAGCAGCGCCTGGTTACAAATGTTAGGGACTGTATCCATGAGCCACCATGCCGTTCCAAGATGCATTAATGCTGCAACAATAGTACCGACCACCTGATAGAAGATTAATTCTTACCTTAAGCGAAGAAACTGAAAAGAACGAAGACCATTTTTACAACAATTTCAGGCAGATTTCAATTGTAGAGGGATTAATTTTGGGAAACCATCCTTTTCCCCTCACCAGGAACCCATCAAACTAATATATTTAGTTCTATCACCTGTGACGGACAGGAAAAGACGAGACTAACCTGTGCCATAAACATTGCTCGAGGAGGAATTTTCATGTAGTGCCCAAGCTTGAAGTCTTGTGAAAATGATGAATCTGCACTTGATTTGTTGTTGCAGTGATGACTCCAACAGGGAGAGTGAAAAATATGGCAAGAGCACATGCTAGCAGAACACCCCACCACGGTAGTTGAAGCTGATACTTGAAATACTGATACGTAAATACAGTTGCCGCAATATTCACCAAAAGAATACTTGAAATACTGATACGTACATAGTAACTGAAGCTACAGATGAAGGCTATAATGAAAAAAAGGTTCCGCGTCAATCCGCCTTTTAGCCTCGGCTCTTTCTCGTGCAGTGCTCTGCATTTGCACGAGTTGTAACCATAATGACATCGAATTATATGAGAAACTAGCAAAAGAAAAGAGAACAAAACAAAATGATCGAAGGCTAACAAAGCAAATGTCGTTGCCTGACTCCTTGTTTACCAGGACAGATGAAACTTAACATGTAGTCATCTTCGTGCGCAAAAAGTCATGCCTACTAGATATATATATCCTCTAAAAATGATTATTAGGTGATTGTAGTTCCCAACTGTGAAGCTCTGACTTAAAATCAAACACAATAGACACAATTTGCTGCTAATATTTGTATGCACACATGCGCAGCATGGGAAGAGAAGTGAAGTAAACCTAGACTTCAAGAACTCTCTGAACTGCGAGAGTTTGAGACTTCAACAGCTATCAACTGCGTTTAAATGGTAGTACCCCGTGAAATCGGGTTCACAGAAATCGACCGACGGAATAAAGACATGGGAATAGGAAAAGATCACTGTAAAGATCGTAGAAAATATGTTCATGAGAACAGAAATAAAGGGAAAGACACGCGATTTCAGTTTGTCTTCTTCAATCTTAATTTCCTTTCATTGATTTAAACTTTATTACAAAGCATCATCCACATGTAACAAAGCTACATTTAGCCAAAAATTAACGAGAAAGAAATGAAAAGAGTGACGAACATCCATGACCTAACAGAAATTCCTAAAATTGCAATTTTTTCGAGGCAAAACATGCTCATCAAACAACACACTTGCCAATGAACGCACGAGCGACGCACCTGAACCACGAGACTTGCACGAGATTCTGGGGCCACCACATGGCGGCGGGCTCCACCAGGTACCGCCGGAACAGCCCGTCCCACCCGAACCCCAAGACCTGCGTCGTCAAGATGACGACCAGCGCCACAGGAAACGACATCTCCTTCAGGTAGAAGATCTTGACGGCGCTGATGATGTGAATGGCGTCGACGCTGGCCGCGCCCGAGTTGGCAAAGATCGTGATCAGCACGTGCTCCTTGACGTTGAACGGGCCCGGATTGAGCGGTGAATTGCCACTTGCTCCCCTCGAAGAACACTCTCTTCGAGATCGCTCCGGCCATAAGGTGACCTGGAGTCAGGCACGCTCATCAGTCTGACCGAATGCGTGGACGTACAAAACAAAATGGAACTCCGTAGAAAAACATCACAGATGCAGATTACATACACCCGCGACCTCGTCTCGAAAGTCAAATTCGATCTGCTCCGAGACTTGTTAATCGAATCGAACCGGACCGAACAGGAACGGGACTCTCGAGTTCGAGGCCTACCGAGGGGGACGACGGCGACCTGAGCAGAGATGGAGGTCACGGAGAGAGGCTCGCGTCGGTACCAGAAGAACTGGTTGAGGAAGGAGAGGAGAGGCAGCACGCCAGGGTCCCGAGGACGAACGTGCGGAACGTGACGGAGGGGAGGGAAGGGTCGTCCCCGGCCGGGACGGTGAACGCGACGTGCTCGATCGGGGAGCTCTCCCCTCCGGCGAGCTCCTCCGCCGCCGCCGCCGAAGAGGAGCCGTAGCCATGAGCTCCGATCTCCTTCTGGACTGCTCACGAATCACGAGAAAAGAAGAAGAAGAAGGGAAAATTCCCGCGAGAAAGTTGGAGGGAAAGTACTGAGCGGAGCCGAGACATCTTCACGGCTCGCGGGATTCATCGTTGGATCCCGTGCCGTCAGATCGGAGCCGTTTAACAAAACAAGGCCCCCATTGACCGGGAACGGGGGCTTTGGTTTGACTCGGGCCCCACCGACGCTTCCCGATCCCGACCGTTCGATTTGAACAGTGACGTCACCGATGACGCACGGAGGAATCAGGTGAGCCGTGGCCGTTGGATGAAGAGTGAGGCCCGCGTGAAAACTTATTTTTTGATCAACGGCTGATACTCGCTCAGGCACGAGAGGTGGGGGCCCCACCCAGAGTGTCCCCAACGGTAATTTTGGTTTTATTTACGGACGATAAGTTTATTTAACTTATTTTTTTAATTTATTTAAGCATTTCTTAATTAGGCAGTGACATTGGATTACACTTGAATTAATTCCTTAATTAACATCATTCTCGTTAAACGATGTTGATCATGTCAATGTCAATTGCGCTTTTTCATGATTCAGTACTCCGTAATACTTTTCGCTCGTAATTTATATAGTCAAAATAAATATCGACTAATTGACATGAATATAAGAGACACGTTTTAACATTAATATCTAGATATAAAAAATTTTCAGTGAATACACAGTCCATTATTCGTCGTGCACATATTTAAAGGACAACATATAAGGATATCAAAAGAATTAAATGAATTTCACCACGAATCATATTAGAACCTCGACGAATTCATATATGTTGGTGATTTCCTAAATTTATTACTTACAAGAGGAGGCTTGAATACAAAATGGCGCGATTTCAAGATCACTCTTTTCGAGGTGATCTTAAAAAATGGATCTTATATGTTTTATCATTTAAAAGCTTATGGCTGATTAATTTAGATATTTAGCTCATGACTCATGTGGCATGCGCTCATCAATTGTGACTCCCTTATCTTCATTTAAGCCCTTTTTTTTTTGTGGCTCTAGTGCTTTTCTTACCTCATTGGGCTGAGCATATAACATAGATGCCTAGGACCGAAGAAAGAGTATCTTGCATTACGTGAATGTCATCAAGTCAATTCATCACATAATATAGTATAACCACCACATGAAATTGTTTCTTCGCATACTTTGGGAGAGAGAAAGGTGGGGTGGGAGGATGCAATATATACATACGTTCAGCTCCGAGGATTATTGTAGTAGCTTGTATTCAAGGGGAAGCCGTCGCCTAATTATTGTAATCCCTGTAGGAAACGAGAAACCATTAAAATAAGAAAAATTCACAATTGAACACGCACAGAGATTACCAAATAACACTCCCGATGGTGAAAAGAAAGCAACTCTGTAGATTTTATTCCCATACAAGAAGCTTATTTTCTTGAACTATATGATACGGAACGCAAACGAGAGGTCTTAATTTGTGTAAAGAAATCTCGTTATCTCTTCTTCAGCGTCTTGTATGAGAGCTAGGTGAAAAGCTCGCTCCACATGCATAAACTATGAAGAGCGAGGTTGGTTCCAAAGGTTGCTTTTGAATCCAACACGAGGTTCCGCAAAAGTTAAAAAATATTCCCTAGTTATTTTATATTGTGATAATAATTGGAAAAAAGTGTTATACTGACTCATTTCTATAAGTGATGTCATAGTTTACGGTGCAGAAAAATTGTGCTCTTTAGTAGGACTTGCTATAGCTTTCATAGATTCGTAATATGTAATGACTTGGTATAGTGGAATGAGTCGAGGGAATTGTTATTCAATACAAATCATAATAATTCTTTTAATCACTAGTAAGAAATTATCCAGTGTGTAAAAAATTTTCAGCATCATGTGTAAAGAACATGTTTCAGATTTAATACTGTCCCATACCTGATGTCGTCGTCCATAAGTTCAGGTGTCTCGATTTCTTCTATTTTGTACACATTCTTTTCTTTTCCTATGTCGTTCCGTAGAACGTCAACAAAACCCTGAGAACCCTTTTTGAATACCACACAGATATTCTCCAATTCCTTGCACTCCTTGATCCCGTCGACTTTCTGCATCACATCGAGGCGCCTAAACTTGAGTTCTTTGAGATGTGTGGCATTGCTCCTTGTTCAATGATCACCGTATCAAGCTCAGGCAGCTTCCAAATCTTCAAGATCTTGAGGCTCGGAAACCCATCTTTGATGAACCTCATACTTTTGCCTTGGAAAGAATTGGCCAAGAGCCTGAGTGTCCTCAGGTTCCTCAGGAGACCTCCCAACTCGGGCATCATGTCTGCTTCCACCCTCGAACCCAACAAAGTCAAAACCCTGAGCGAGCCAGGCAAGAGCTGTGTCCAGCTGGGTTTGTTGAGTTGGCCCAACAAGTAGAGCTCCAACAGGTTGTGATGTTGGTTAGCCAACGATAATTCCGGTAACAGGCCTATCGGCAATGTCACGGGCCTGGATTCTTTCTTCACGGGCTTTTCTTTTGCGGGGTGGGCTCCTTTCGCGGGTTCAGCTTCTTCCGCGGGCTTGGCTTCTTTCTTCGGTTCGGCTTCTTGGATCACCCCAAAGATCAAGGACTGGAGATTGGTGAGCCTGAAGCTAATCCAATCGGCGAGGTCAAACCTCGCCAGGGGTAGGCAAGGCCGACCTCGCCAATTGTTGGCGAGGTCGGCCACACCAACGGCCAGCGGGGCCGACCTTGCCGGTCCGGCGACCGGCCATAGGTCAAAGATAAAGAAGATGAAGGAAAAAAGAAAAGAAAAGGAAAGGAAAAAGAAAGGAAAAGAAAAATAAAAAAAATTGAAAAAAAAAATAATATTAAAAAATTAGGTCGAGGTAAAATTATCGCAAGTATACCAGTTTAGGATTTTTGGTAGTCAAAAAAATAGTTCGGAGTAAAATTATCACAAGTGTACCAGTTTGGGGTTTTTTATGATAAAAAAATAGTTTGGAGTAAATTTATCACAAGTGTACCAGTTTAGAGTTTTTCATGATATTAACCCAAATAAGAATAGTTAACGGCGACAATTGTAAGAGAGAAATCATTCACCTTCGGTCAAGTGAGTGACTCATCCTTAATTTAAGTAAGTCATTATTAATATTAATTAACTATCGTTAAAGTAAATAGTGTAACCGATGACATTTTAAATTCGCTGAAATTATGGGTAAACAAGGCCTGATGCTAGGAAAATCTCCATTTAGTAAATCTAAAACTTGATAATCATTAAGCATATAATTCGAAGAATGTCCATCCCTATTGACAACTAAGATGATGGTAAATCAATTAACATTACTCCACACCATCAACATACATGTCAACATCCATTAATTTAATTCCAACACATCGGACTCAGGACGATTAAGGACAAGGAAAATCATCCTCCGCGATTTTCCATACCTCACAAGATCAACGACCAAACTAAGATTTTCTACGTGCTAACCCGAACTCTAAGCTGAATAATACATGGCTTTATAACCTAAGTATTAGTATTGAAAATTCCAGACGTCACATTGTTGATGTGCGTGGTTGCTAATCCGTAATTTATAAGCATGGCCTTGTATAGACAAGTTTTTATGGTGTAGGAGTGGCGAGATGGTTTTAGGTGACCCGACCTTCCTAAAACTTTTGTGATGTATTGTATTTGCATCAATTCGATAACTTGTGGTGTTAATATTAAGAAACATGTGTATAATTAAACTCTTGCGATTTCTTGTTTGGAATGTTGTGAATATTTTGTCGTGCTTCCGCATGCTATTAATTATTAGAAGACATAATGGAAACGAAACATGTCGCGTGTGATGTTTTGGGGTATCTCACACGGGGCATCTCGACTCCTGAGGCATCCCGAACACTTTTCTGAGCATCTCGACACACGAGACATCCCAACTTGGGGGCATCGCCACCACTAATATATGGGCAACGAATATTACTTTTTATAATACTTTCCATGATTAATCATATAGCAACAATGTACATGGTAACATTATAATCATATGATCACTCTTGCATCAACAACAAATTCAACACTCATTTCAATAATCAAAGTCCAATACACAACATCACTTAATACAATTCATTACCTTACCCTTTTAATGATCATATACGTGGGTAATGATGACGACACGCTTACCTCCTTTCATGCCTTTCACTGATTACACAATAATGGCATGCTTATCTCTTTTCATTTCTCATCATTCCATTCAATGATCACATGATAATGACATGCTTTGTGACTCCCCGAACGTCACGCACAAAACGTGTCCTTTCCGTTTATCTTCATAATAAACATTACGTATGCGGAAGTACGCTAAAACATTCACAACATTCATTATAAGTATTCGCACGAGTTTAATGTTATTTACTATTTTTGGAAAACATACTATGGACGAGGTACAGAAACCATGGCTTTCTGGTGTTTAAAGTTTTTTCTATGTAAAATAAGAAAATTTTGACTCTTTTCAAGCTAGCTTTCTTTGTACAAATGAGAAATGATGGCCGGATGCGGTGATATTGCGCATTTATGGTTTTAGCCTCCATGAGTCTTGTCATACTTAGATGTGGACATGCTAGTAAGCTTTGAGAACCATTCACTTGAATGTATAGTGCTTTTATATTTGGAAAAAGGTACTCTGTATGCGGTGACTACCTTTAGATTACGGAAGTTTAGTCAACATACATGTTGTGGATGTCGGCTTGAATATCCTTTGGAAAGGTTTTCACAATTCAAAAGCAAAAGGAGATCGTCAAACTGCGGAAGGAATGCAATGTCTCATTAGTTCACAGGAGCTACTTTTTCCTTCTGTTTAAAGGTGATCAGACCGATTCTCTCTACATGGGGGTAGAGCTCAGGAAGTTGTCCGTTATTAGAGATAAAATTTTCCCTATGTAATCAAGCTCTAGAAGATGGTCAGACCTAGAGCACTGCTTTGAAATACTGAATTCAAACTATAGGAAACGCAAGCTACTTTTGTTAAATTCAGAGTAGGAACATATCAAGTCCGAGATTTTATTGTGTTGAACAACATGCAAGATCTTCGTCTTGAGAGGCAGATGCTCACCAAGCGGTTGCAGAAGAAGCTCACCAGGAAAGATAAAAAGATGCTCTTCCAAACTTAGGGGATTAGTTTGAATTCAAAGCGCTGAAGTTCGCAGTTAGCCCACCGATTGTGGTCTCGCACAAAAGATATGGACAACATGGCCGAGAGTGCCAAAATCGTCACAAAGCTTGTTGGGGTTTTTTTTTTTAGCCAAAGGAAGCTTCCAAGGAGATGTTTGGCCTCAACTTCACTCAGCAATCAAGCACAAAATCTCATAGGTGGAAAAGTACAGTGGTGTCATTCTTGAGAAGCTTTGTTTTGGGCAGTTCTGCTTTTGCGGAATGGCGATGAAATCGCCCTCCAACTATCTAAGATGGTATGGCTTCTTTTTAATCGGTGTTATATTTGTGGTTTAGACGCAGGTCGTTGAGCAAAAAGCTCAGTAAATTTACCATGATCAGATGAAGGTTTGCAAGTCCTCTGACCAGTCCAGGAGGCTCTTCAACAGAGGTATTGGCATCTGATTAGTGCTAATTATACTGATATATGACGTTTCTATTTCTTCCATCCTATTATATGTTTTGTCATTTAAAAGCTTGTGGTTGATTAATTTAGTTATTTAGTTCATGACTCATGTGGTATGCGCTCATCGATGGTGAGCCCCCACCTTTTTTTTTTGTTGATCTTGTGCTTTTCTTACCTCATTAGACCGAGTGTATGCCGACATAGAATTGAAAAAAGAGTACATTGCATTAAATGAATATCATCACATCGGTTCATCGCATAATATAAACATTACATGAAATTGTTTCTTCGCACACCTAGAGAGAGAGAGAGAGAGAGAGAGAGAGAGAGAGAGAGAGAGAGAGAGAGGAGGGTGGGTGAGAGATGCAATAGATACATATGTTAAGCTCCGAAGATCATTGTAGTAGTTTGTATTCAAAGAGAAGTCGTTGCCTCATTATTGTCATCACTGTAGGAAACAAGAAACCACTAAATAAGTAAGCTTCACACTATTACACATGCACAATTACGCATAAGAAATTACCAAAAAAGTTTTAAACTTATTGCGCTTGTGCCAATTCAGTCATAAACTTTTCAATTATATCAATTGAGTCCTAAACCTTTTGATAATTTATCAATTTAGTCCTTCAGGCCAATTTTGATCTGAAATTGCCGATGTGGACGCTAGCCATCTTACATGATACGTCCGACGTGGCATGAACAATATTTACAATTTTTTATAAAATCGAAATTATTATTCTTTCTTATTCTTTTCTTTCCTTTTTTTTTTCTTGCCTTTCTTTTTCTTTTTCTTTCTCCCTCTACCGGTCACCAGATCTTGGCGACGGCCGGCAAATGACCACAGGCGAGGGTCAACCTCGTCGGGAGTTGGCTAGGTGCAACCTCGCCGAGATTTGGCGACCTCGAGCCTTGCCGGATCTGGTGAGGTGGAGCCTCACTCGAGGCTGGCAAGGCTCGAGCTTGCCGAGATCGAGCGAGACTTGACCTCGTCGACCTCGGGCAAGCTCCAGCCTCGCTCGAGGCCGGCCCTCTCCTGTGTCCGATTACCGGTAGTCGTTAAGGCCCGGCGATTGGTGGAGAAAGAAAGAAAAAGAAAGAAAAGAAGTGTAAAATTAATAAATAATAAATAAAATAAATAAATTGGAAATTCTTTTTAATAAATTGTCTACATTAGAATCGGTCGTGCCACTTAAAACAACCGCGCCATGTAAGACGATAGACATACACGTTAGTAATTTCCGGCCAAAATTGGCCAGAATGATTAAATTGACAAATTGTCAAAAGGTTTAAAACTCAATTTATACAATTGAAAGATTTGTTATTGAATTTGTAAGACTTTTTTTATAATTTTCGCCTACTACACATGCCTAGAGATTTCCAAATAATACTCCTAAAGGTGAAATAAAAACAAAAGCAACTTTGTAGATTTCTTCCTATATGAGAAGCTTCTTTTTTGGAAGCATGATACAGAACGTAAACGAGAGGTCTTAATTAGTGTAAAGAAATCTCTCATTATCTCTTCTTCAACGTCTTGTACGTGAGCTAGGTGAAAGGCTCATCCAACATGCGTAAGCTATGGAGAGTAAGGTCAGTTCCAAAGTTTACTTTTGAACCCAACATTAGATTCCACAAAAGTTGGATGCTACTGTCCACGTGATTTTATATTGTGATAATGGCTGGAAAACGTATAATAAGGACTCATTTCTACGAGTGATGTGATCGTTTACAGCGTAGAAAAATTGTGTTCTTTAGTAGGACTTATTGTAGCTTTCATAGATTCGTAATATGCATCGACTTAATCTGATGGAATGAGTGAGGGTAATTCTTATTAGATAAAAATCACAATCTTTCTTTTTAATCACTCATAAGCAATTATCAAGTCTACAAAATCAATTTTCATAAAGAACATGTTTGAGATTTAAAATAGTCACGTACCTGTCGTCCTCATCCGTGGATTCAAGCCTCTTGCTGTCCTTTTCAATCTCTCCTTTTTCTTCCCTGATTTATATATTTTTTTTAAAAAAAAGTAATTATTGAAATTATCAAGTGCATAAAAAAAAAACAATTTCATCATCAGGCTTAAGGAAAGTTTTTGAGATTTAATATTGTCACATACCCGTCGTCGTCTTCGTAATCGTCCGTAGATTCGGTAGTCTTGGTCTCTTTTTCCACGTGCAGATTCGTGGTCTCTCCTTTTAGGTCCCTGAGTTGGCTGACAAGAGCATCGCTTAGGGATATCTCCAAATCCCGGCGCCCCTCGATCCCTTCAACAGTTGTCAACCTCTCGAGGTGCCTAAACTCGAGTAGCATGAGATGTGGCATTGCTCCATTTTTAATGGTCACCTCCGCAAGGTTAGGCAGATTCCAAATCTTCAAGATCTTGAGGCTGGGAAACCCATCTTCGACGAACGTCATGCGTTCGCACAGGAAAGAGTTGGCCAAGAGCCTGAGCGTCCGCAGGCTCCTCAGGAGAACCCCCAACTGGTCCATCTCGTCTGCTTCCACCCTGGAACCCGACAGGGTCAAAACCCGGAGCGAGCCAGGCAAGAGCTGCGTCCAGATGGGTTTTTCGAGTCGGCCCAGCAAGTAGAGCTCCAACAGGTTGTGATGTCTTTCACCCAACGACAGCTTCGGTAACGGGCCTATCTGCGATTTGGGGGGCTGGGCTTGTTTTTCGGGCTTGTCTTTTTTGGCGGGATGGGCTTCTATTGCGGGTTCGGCTCCTTCCGCTCGCTCGGCGTCTTTCGCGGGTTGGGCTTCTTCAGCGGGCTTGGCTGCTTTCTTGGCTTCTGTCGCGGGCTTGGCTACTTTCTTGGCTTTTTTCACGGGCTTGGGTTCTTGGATCACCCCAAAGGTCAAGGACTGGAGATTGGTGAGGCCGAAGCTAATCCAATGTGCCACTGTTTCCACTGCGTCGCCCGAGGAGGGGTCCTTCTCCGAGTGTTGCAAGAAAAGCTTGAGCGTGGTGAGCGTGGTCAAGCTGCTCATGAGGTCCCTCATCAAGTTCTCCTTCACTTCACCGATAACCAGCCCGCTTAAGGTTTGGAGTTGAGCCAAGGCATTGACATTGTTGCTGCAAGCCTTGAGGATGTTCTCCAAGTCGATGTAGAACCAGTTGAGATGCAGGTGCCTCAGTTTCCTCGCCTTCCACAAGGAATTCGGCAGCCAAGTGATGTTCGTGTGCTTTATGTCGAGAGTCTCGAGATGGTGCAGATCTGCAACGGCGCTCGGGATCGAGTCCAACACCGTGGATCTCAATCCTAGGTACCTTAGGAGCACTAGCTTGTGGAGCACACCTTGCAGGTATGGCTTATACACACCCTCCAAATCAAGCACCCTTAGCAAGCTATAGCCAGTCTTGGACGTTGTCTTCCTTAGAAACGTCTTGATGTCTTTGGTGAGCATGCCGCTCCTCTGGTAGAACGACAGAAACGAACGGACGTGGCCGAGGTTCAAAGCGGGGTAGCTGCCGCCGCGGTCGTCCGTGATTATGTTTGTGTGCTCCGCAATCCACCGAATCTTGGTTCTTTCAAGCAATTGGGCCGCCAACTGTTGTTGCTGGCTGGTTGGGTCACGTTCGTTCCCGTCTTTCGACTTGCTAGCGGCATGTACATGGAGGAACCCCGTGCTCATCGCAATCGGGCGAATCATGTCATAGAGAGAGGTGAGCATTTGGCAAGCTTTGGGGGATCCATCCGCCCTCCAGCTCACCACATCGATCACATTCCTATCGGCGAGCTCCAGAATGAAGGTCTCTCCCACATCCTCGGGCTGCCTTGTTCTTTCCCTTTCTACGTCGTGACAATGCGAATCCAATAAGCCCTCAGCCAACCACAGCCTCACTAGCCTTCTTGTTGGAATAGGAAATCCTACGGGGAACAAAGCCATGTAAATGAAGCACGGTTTTAAATGGTCTGGCAATTTATGGCAACTCAATTGTAGTATATCTAACAATGTCGTCATAGAACCCTCTTTCGCCAACGCCGTGCGTTCATCCTCTCCAACATTGGACAGAAACCCACCGAGTAAGGATATATAGAGCGGCAAGCCACGACCAAAGCTTAGGATATCCTTCTCCTCCTTTGAGAGAACTCTATGCAACTTCCAAGCGAGCATCCTCTGGCTTTCGTCTTCGGACAATTTTTCTAGCTTGATCGGCGCTCTCGTGCCTCGATTCGTGTGCTGGGCTATTGAATCGTCCTGAGTTGTGGTAATTATGTGGCCCTGCGAATATAACGGGGAGCTCATCCATAACTCTTCCAAGAGTTGCATGTCGGACGGCTGCACGTCATCCAACACTATGAAATATTTATTTATCTGGGCCAATTTCCAGAGCAGCTTTGTCCTTATCTCAGCTATATTCATGTCCTTCATGCCGCCTGCAAGATTGTCGGCTTGCTTCAGAATCTCCAACAGGAACTCCCGCCGGTCCATGCCGGCCGATACACGGACCCAAGCGCGCCACTCATAGCCCATGTCCTTCGCTTGGTCGTAGGCCCATCTCGCGAGGGACGTCTTGCCGGTTCCGTGCTCGCCCCAAATCGAACTCCATTTTTCGTACTTCTCTGTTATTTCTATCCGCTTCCTTATTTCCTTCATCTGGTCCTCGCGATATAAGAAGTTTGTAGGCGCTTGCCGATCCCAGAAACTAGTCAGCCTCGCCAATTTTTGGCCTTGCCATGAAACACTAGCAAGGGAGGATGAACTAGCAGGTTTCTTTTTGCTCTTGCCCTCGGCCTCCTCCTTCAAGAACTTCTCATCACACAACGCCTCCATCTTATTCACCAGAGTGGACAAGTCGCTCCACAGCTTGTACTTGGAGACGAGCGCGGCCATCGGCCATGTGGCCATGTAGAGGGCCTTGTGCCTCTCGCGGGCCTCTCCGAGATAGAACTTGTCGATGAATTCCTCGGCGTCGTACATGGCTCGGCGGAGCCGGCTCGACCACTCCGTGGTTTCGGACGATCTGTATTGAGTGGAAAAGTGCACTTGGATCCTGGCCAGCTTCGCCTTGGCCTTCTTCGCACGGTTTTGCATCGGTAAGCACTCCGCACGCACCGGGTGAGAGAGCAAGATATCTAGTTTCTGCAACAGGATCTGGACGGTGGCTTCGTCGACCATCGTGCAGCTTCTCGTGTCGGAAGCAGCCATGGGTAATCAATATGTTTGTTTCTAGCAAGGTCGTGTGGGTGGGTGGGTGTGTCAGTTGGCTAGTTTGCTTGGATCGAATAAATTTGTGAGGTCATATTGTTCACTCTCTATGTATATATTCTTCATTTTTCTATACTTTTCTTTGTTTGGCCTCTTCTTTCTACTACAAGCAGCTTTGTTTAATTCTTTGCTTGCACGGAAAATTATCCAAAAAGCCCTAAATCTATTGCATTTACCTTCTGCATTTGTGTCAATTCAGTCCATCCGGCCAATTTTGCCAAGCCAGTACTAATGTGGATGCCGGCTGTCCGATTAATGTTGATGTAGCAATATTTTAATATTTTTTGAATTTTTTTGTTTTTGATTTTTTCCTTTTTTTTTTCTTTTTTTCCTTCTTTGTTTCTACCCATCTTCCCTCTGGCCAAAGGTGAGGTCCGGCGAGGTCCTCTAGTGAAGCTCGCCCCTACCGACCACTAGTGAAGCTGACCTCATCATCGCTGGGCAAGGGATAACCCAGCGACGGCGAGGCTACCTTGCCTCGCAGGGTCGGCGTCACCTTGGCTAAGAAAGCATCCCCCAGCCAGGGGCTGGCAAGGCCGAACTTGCCTCCAAATTGATTTCTTTTTTGTCTACATATTCTTTGATTGTGTTTCATATTTTGTTCATTTTTTCTGTGCTTTTCTCCAAACAGGTACCTCTCCTCCGAATTGATTCTTGACCGAGGGAAAAGAAAGTATCCGGTGCTTTTTTTTTTTTTTGGTAAAGGAAAGTATCCGGTGCTTTTTTGTTTGGTAAAGGAAAGTATCCGGTGCTTTTTTTTTGGTAAAGGAAAGTATCCGGTGCTTTTTTTTTTGGTAAAGGAAAGTATCTGGTGCTTTTGTCATCGGTAGTTTAAATAATTAACAAGCCAACCCAATTTTGTTGAAGTTCAGACTCGAAGATGAGAGAATCAGAGAGGAGACACTAGGTTCGGCCGAGAAGACGAGAAGAGTTCGCATATCTGATATATTAGCGATGTGATGAATTGTTATCCGGCAGCTTATTATAATCTTAACTTATAACCTACCACATCATTTAGTATGTCCACTTACTAAGATTATCGCTACAGGCGGTCTTGCAAAATTTTCAAATTTTAAAGTAGTAAAAAGTTAAAAGAGTGGAATAAGGAAGTCATAAGAACCAGCCTTTTTTGTCCCCTCAAGCTAACTATGTTCCTTTGTCATTCTTTGCTTGGACTTGTCTTATGGGTATAAGATGCTTGTACCTTTCCATGATCTTGTTTTCACTTTATCTTTTCAACACGGTTGGAATATGGATGTCGTTCCTCAAAATACTCGCACTTCAGCCGAACATTATAGTAAAAGAAGATATAGTCTTTTGTTTGATATTTTCCGGACAATCCACCTGCATGTCACTATAAATTTCAGATGGCTATATAGTTGTTAAAACATAATGAAATCAATTAACATTGATGATAGTATGTAGTTCAGGTCCGTCAAATAGGTGGGTCGAGTAAAAAATGATTCAACCCAAATTAACCCATTTATATGCAATATAAGTTTAATGACTTGTACCTGACCCGGCCCGATCCGTACCTAATCCATACCCAAACAATTCACCAAAATACTTATATAGTTAATCCAATTCATAAAAATCCATATCATCTAGTTAACCTTTTTTTGATCTTGTTAGTTGTCAGCGCTACTCTCTCTCACTCGTCTTTCGTAAGGATCGAACACATATGTGACGCCCCTGAACGTCACACACAACACATGTTCTTTCCGTTTATACTCATAATTATTATTACGCATGCTGAAGCACACTAAACATTCACAATATCCGTACAAGAGATCACACAAGTTTAATAATATGCATACTTCCATTCTTATACAATCGCTAGTGGATATTATCTTTCTACAACATCCAATGCAAACATAAAATACATAAGTCCTGGGAAGTGTTGGGGTGACCTATCTCCATCACTATACTCCTATGCCCCAAAAGCCTACACGTACAAAAGTCAAGCTATCCACTACGGGTCGACCACTTTGCCCCTCGACTCTTCACTGTCAATATTCATGTACCAAGCAAGGAATCGATGAAGGACCTATACGGTGGAACTACACTTATAGATACTACTGCAGATCCAAATATAAGCACATCTTCATATACACAATCAAAATGCATAGGAGCTCCAAAAAAGCAACGACGGTGGGCGATCTATCCTATATATTTGGAAAAATAAGGAGTGAACCAAAGCCCAACAAATGAAATCTCGGAATCTAAGGTAGGAAATCCACTCACCACTCAACATGATACCAACAAACAAATGGACACTCCTAATCTTTCTTTAATTTTTCTGAGGTCTTTCCAGTCAAGAAGCAAACCCAAAGCAGAAGGCGATGGCTTGAATTGCTAAACAAAACGGCTCATCCCTAACTATCTAGACTGCTTATTTTTGAGCTAGTATGAGCTGAACATATATCCGAAATCTAGTCCTTGAACAGAGGATATGGAAAGTGGCCTTGCCCCTTTTGGGGATCTTTACTTTTGAAAAGATATGTCAAAGGGATAACCAGAAACGCGATTCTCATTTTTTGAATAAATGATCTTGAATGGTTCCATTATAAGCTAGAACTGTGATCTTACATTTTGTTCGACAATTGACTCGAGAAACCTTTCTCGAAGTCAAGTCTGTCTTACTTCTTACCATCACGAATCCGAATGTCATGTTGAGCGACGCGGAACTTGCACGCTTTCTCTAATCAATATGGGACGAGAACATCATCTACGAAAGTATTTGGTTTTTCTAGTAATTCTAGGATACCGAAGAGGAGCCGTAGCCATGAGCTCCGATCTCCTTCTGGACTGCTCACGAATCACGAGAAAAGAAGAAGAAGGAGGGAAAATTCCCGAGAAAGTTGGAGGGAAAGTACTGAGCGGAGCCGAGACATCTTCACGGCTCGCACAGTACATTATTCGTCGTGCACATATTTAAAGGACAACATATAAGGATACCAAAAGAATTAAATGAATTTCAGCACGAATCATATTACAACCTCGAGAATTCATATATGTTGGTGATTTCCTAAATCTATTACTTACAGGAGTAGGATTGAATACAAAAAGGGGCGATTTCGAGACGACTCTTTTCGAGGTGATCTTAAAAAATAGCTCTTATATGTTTTGCCATTTAAAAGCTTGTGGCTGATTAATTTTGATTAATTTAGATATTTAGCTCATGACTCATGTGGCATGCGCTCATCAATTGTGACTCCCTGATCTTCATTTAAGCCCTTTTTTTTTGTGTGTGGCTCTAGTGCTTTTCTTACCTCATTGGACTGAGCATATAACATAGACGCCTAGGACCGATGAAAGAGTATCTTGCTTTACGCGAATGTCATCAAGTCAATTCATCACATAATACAACCATTACATGAAATTGTTTCTTCGCATACTTTGGGAGAGAGAAAGGGGGGGGGTGGTTGTTGGGGGGTTGGTGGAATATATACATACGTTTAGCTCCGAGGATCATTGTAGTAGCTTGTATTCAAGGAGAAGCCGTCGCCTAATTATTGTCATCCCTGTAGGAAATGAGAAACCATTAAAATAAGTAAAATTCACAATTGAACACGCACAGAGATTGCCAAATAATACTCCCGACGGTGAAAAGAAAGCAACTCTGTAGATTTTATTCCCACACAAGAAGCTTCTTTTCTTGAATTATATGATACGGAACGCAAACGAGAGGTCTTAATTAGTGTAAAGAAATCTCATTATCTCTTCTTCGGCGTCTTGTATGAGAGCTAGGTGAAAAGCTAGCTCACTCCACATGCATAAACTATGGAGAGCGAGGTTGGTTCCAAAGGTTACTTTTGAATCCAACATAGGGTTCCACAAAGGTTGAATAATACGTCATGGTTATTTTATATTGTGATAATAATTGGAAAAAAGTATTATACAGACTCATTTCTACGAGTGATGTCATAGTTTACGGTGCAGAAAAATTGTGCTCTTTAGTAGGACTTGCTATAACTTTCACAAATTCGTAATATGTAATGACTTGGTCTGGTGGAATGAGTCAAGGGAATTATCGAGCCTGTAAAAACATTTTCATCATCATGTGTAAAGAACATGTTTGAGATTTAATATTGTCCCATACCTGATGTCGTCGTCCGTAAGTTCAGGTGTCTCGGTATCTTCTATTTTGTACGCATTCGTTTCTGTTCCCATGTCGATCTTCATATGGTCAACAAAACCCGGAGAACCCTTTTTGACTACCTCCCATATATTCTCCAATTCCTTACACTCCTTGATCCCTTGGACATTCTTCAACACATCGAGGCGCCTAAAGTCGAGTTCTTTGAGATGTGGCATTGCTCCTTGTTCGATGATCACCGTATCAAGCTCAGGCAGCTTCCAAATCTTCAAGATATTGAGGCTTGGAAACCCGTCTTTGACGAACGTCAGTCTAGTGCCTACGAAAGAATTGGCCAACAGCCTGAGTGTCCTCAGGTTCCTCAGGAGAACTCCCAACTCGGGCATCCTGTGAGCTTCCACCATTGAACCCGACAAAGTCAAAACCCGGAGCGAGACTGGCAAGAGCTGTGTCCAGATGGGTTTGTTGAGTTGGCCCAGCAAGTAGAGCTCCAACAGGTCGTGATGTTGGTTAGCCAACGACAATTCCGGTAACGGGCCCATCGGCAATGTCGCGGGCTTGGACTCTTCCTTCGTGGGCTTCGATTCTTTCTTCGCGGGCTTTTCTTTTGTGGGGTGGGCTCCTTTCGCGGGTTCAGCTTCTTCCGCGGGGTTGGCTTCTTTCTTCGGTTCGGCTGCTTGGATCACCCCAAAGGTCAAGGACTGGAGATTGGTGAGCCTGAAGCTAATCCAATCGGCTACTGCTTTTCCTACGGCGCCTGACGTGTCCCCACCCGAGCGTTGCAAGAAAAGCTTGAGCGTGGTGAGCGTGGTCAAGCTGTCCATGTGGTCCCTCATCAAGTTCTCCTTGACCTCACCGATAACCAGCCCGCTTAAGGTTTGGAGTTGAGTCAAGGCCATGACATTGTTGCTACAAGCCTTGAGGATGTTATTCAAGTCGATGTAGAACCAGTTGAGATGCAGGTGCCTCAATTTCCTCGCCTTCCACAAGGAACTCGGCAGCCAAGTGATGTTGGTGTGCTTTATGTCGAGAGTCTCGAGATGGTGCAGATCTGCAATGGCACTCGGGATCGAGTCCAACACCGTGGATCTCAATCCTAGGTACCTTAGGAGCACCAGCTTGTGGAGCACACCTTGCAAGTATGGCTTATACACACCCTCCAAATCAAGCACCCTTAGCAAGCTATAGCCAGTCTTGGACGTTGTCTTCCTTAGAAACGTGCTGATGTCTTTGGTGAGCATGCCTCTCCTCTGGTAGAACGACAGAAACGAGTGGACGTGGCCGAGGTTCAAATCGGGGTAGTTGCTGTCGAGGTTGTCTGTGACTATGTTCGTGTGCTCCGCAAGCCACCGAATCTTGGTTCTTTCTCGCAGTTGGGCTGCCGGCTGTTGTTGCTGGCTGATTGAGTCACCTTCGCTCCCGTCTTTCGACTTGCTAGTGGCATGTATGTGGAGGAACCCTGTGCTCATCGCGATTGGGCAGATCATGTCAAACAGAGAGGTGAGCATTTGGCAAGCTTTTGGGGATCCATCCTTCCTCCAGCTCACCACATCGATCACATTCCTATCCGCGAGCTCCAGAATGAACGTCTCTCCCACATCCTCGGGTTGCCTTATCCTTTCCCTTTCTATGTCTTGACAATGCAAATCTAATAATCCCTCAGCCAACCACAGCCTCACTAGCCTTCTTGTCGGAATAGGGAATCCTACGGGGAACAAAGCCATGTAGATGAAGCACGGTTTTAGATGGACTGGTAATTTATGGCAACTCAATTGCAGTATATCCAACAATGTCGTCATAGAACCCTCTTTCGCCAACGCTGTGCGTTCATCCTCTCCAACATTGGACAGAAACCCACCGAGTAAGGATATATAAAGCGGCAAGCCACGACACTTGCTTAGGATATCCTTCTCCTCATTTGAGAAACTTTGACCATCGGATACTTTATGCAACTTCCAAGCGAGCATCCTCTGGCTTTCGTCTTCAGACAATTTTTCTAGCTTGATCTGCTTTCCCGAGTACTGGGCTATCGAATTGTCCTGAGTTGTGGTAATTATGTGGCCCTGCGAAAGTGCCGGGGTGCTCCATAGTAACTCTTGCAAGAGTTGTATGTCGGACGGCTGCACGTCATCCAACACTATGAAATATTTATTTATCTCGGCCAATTTCTGCAGCAGCTTTGTCTTTATCTCATCCATATTCAGGTCCTTCACGTCGCCTGCTACATTGTTGGCTTGCATCAGAATCTCCAACAGGAGCTCCCGCGGATCCATGCCGGCCGAGACACGGACCCAGGCGCGCCACTCATAGCCCATGTACTTCGCTTGGTTGTAGGCCCATCTCGCGAGGAACGTCTTGCCGGTTCCTTGCTCGCCCCAAATCGAACTCCATCGTTCGTACTTCTCTGTTATTTCTATCCGCTTCCTTATTACCTTCTTCTGCTCCTCGCGACATAAGAAGTTTGTGGGCGCTTGCCGATCCCAGAAACTAGTCAGCCTCGCGAATTTTTGGCCTTGCCATGGAACACTAGCATGGGAGGATGAACTAGCAGGTTTCTCTTTGCTCTTGCCCTCGGCCTCCTCCTTCAAAAACTTCTCATCACACGACTCTTTCATCTTATTCACCAGAAGGGACAAGTCGCTCCACAGCTTGTACTTGGAGACGAGCGCGGCGATCGGCCATGCGGCCATGTGGAGGACCTTGCTCCTCTCGCGGGCCTCTCTGAGGTGGAACTTGTCAATGCATTCCTCGGCGTCGTACATGGCTCGGCGGAGCCGCCCCGACCACTCCGTGGTTTCGGACGGTCTGCATTGAGTGGAAAAGTGCACTTGGATCCTGGCCAGCTTCGCCTTGGCATCCTCCGCGCGGGTATGCATCGGTAAGCACTCCGCGCACACCGGGCGAGAGAGCAAGATATCTAGTTTCTGCGACAGGATCTGGGCGGTGGCTTCGTCGACCATCGTGCAGCTTCTCGTGTCGGAAGCGGCCATGGGTAATCAATATGTTTGTTTCTAGCAAGGTCGAGGGGGTGGGTGGGTGTGTGTCAGTTGGCTTGTCTGCTTGGATTGAATAAATTTGTGAGGTCATATTATTCACTCTCTATGTATATATTCTTCATTTTTCTATACTTTTCTTTGTTTGGCCTCTTCTTTCTACTACAAGCAGCTTTGTTTAATTCTTTGCTTGTGGGGAAAATTGTTCAAAAAGCCCTAAATCTATTGCATTTACCTTTTACATTTGTGTCAATTCAGTCCATCCGATCAATTTTAGCAAACCGGTACTAATGTGGATGTCAACTGTCCGATCAATGCTGACGTAGTAATATTTTAATATTTTTTGAATTTTTTTTTGTTTTTGATTTTTTCTTTTTTTTTTCTTTTTTGTTTCTACCCATCTTCCCTCTGGCCAAAGGTAAGGTCCGACGAGGTCCTCTGGCGAAGCTCGCCCCTACCGACCACTAGCGAAGCTGACCTCGTCGTCGCTAGGCAAGGGATAACCAGCGACAGCGAGGCTACCTTGCCTCGCAGGGTCGGCGTCACCTTGGCTGAGAGAGCATCCCCTAGACCGGGGCTGGCGAGGCCGACCTTGCCTCCAAATTGATTTTTTTTTTGTCTACATATTCTTTGATTGCGTTCCATATTTTGTTCATTCTTTCTGTGCTTTTCTCCAAACGGGTGCCTCTCCTCCGAATTGATTCTTGACCCAGGGACAAGAAAGTATCTGGTGCTTTTGTCATCAGTAGTTTAAATAATTAACAAGCCAAACCAATTTTGTTAAAGTTCGGACTTGAAGAAGAGAGAATCAGAGAGGAGACACTAGGTTCGGACTCGAAGATGAGAAGAGTTCGCATATCTGATATATTAGCGATGTGATGAATTGTTATCCGGCAGTGATCGTGACCCGCTTCTTATATTCTTAACTTATAACCTACCACATCATTTAGTATGTCCACTTACTAAGATTATTACTACAGGCGGTCTTGCAAAAATTTCACATTTTAAAGTAGTAAATAAAGTTAGAACAGTGGAATAAGGAATTCATAAGAACCTGCCTTTTTTGTCCCCTCAAGCTAACCATGTTCCTATGTCATTCTTTGCTTGGAGTTGTCTTGTGGGTATAAGATGCGTGTACCTTTCCATGACTTCTTTTCACTTTATCTTTTCAACACGGTTGGAATATGGATGTCGTTCCTCAAAATACTCGCACTTCAGCCGAACATTATAGTAAAAGAAGATATAGTCTTTTGTTCGATGTTTTCCGGACAATCCACCTGCATGTCACTATAAGTTTGAGATGGCTATATAGTTGTCAAAACATAATGAAATCAATTAACATTGATGATAGTATGAATTTCAGGACTGCCAAATAGGTGGGTCGGGTAAAAAATGATTCAACTCAAATTAACCCATTTATATGCAATACAACTTTAATGACTCGTACCCAACCCAACCCAACCTAGCCCGGCTTGACCCGAACTGTACCTAATCCATACCCAAACAATTCACTAAAATACTTATATATTTAATACAATTCATAAAAATCCATACCATCTAGTTAACCTTTTTTTGATCTTGTTAGTTGTCAGCACTACTCTCTCTCACTCGTCTTTCGTAAGGATCGAACACCTGTGTGACGCTCCAGAACGTCACATGCGACACGTGTCCTTTCCGTTTATACTCATAATTATTATTACGCATGCTGAAGCACACTAAACATTCACAATATCTATACAAGAGATCACACTAGTTTAATAATAAGCATACTTCCATTCTTATACAATCGCTAGTGGATATTATCTTTCTACAACATCCAAGGCAAATATAAAATACACAAGTCCTGGGAAGGGTTGGGGTGACCTATCTCCATCACTATACTCCTATGACCCAAAAGCCTACACGTACAAAAGTCAAGCTATCTGATATGGGTCGACCACTTTGCCCCTCGACTCGTCACCGTCAATATTCATGTACCAAGCAATGAATCGATGAAGGACCTATATGGTGGAACTACACTTATAGATACTACTGCAGATCCGAGCATAAGCACATCTTCATATACACAATCAAAATGAATAAGAGCTCCAAAAAAGCAACAATGGTGGGCGATCCATCCTACATATTTGGAAAAATAAGGGGTGAATCGAAGCCCAATAAATGAAATCTTTAAGTCTAAGGTAGGAGATTTTTACTCACCACTCAACATGATATGAACAAACAAGTGGGCACTCCTGTTCTTTCTTTAATTTTCCTGAGGTCTTTCCAGTCAAGAGGCAAACCCAAAGCAGAAGGCGATGGCTTGAATTGCCAAACAAAACCGCTCATCCCTAACTATCTAGACTGCTTATATTTGAGCTAGTGTGAGTTGAACATATATCCGAAATCAAGTCCTTGAACAGAGGATATGGAAAGTGGCGGAAAGTGGCTTTTGCCCTTTTGGAGATCTTTACTTTTGAAAAGATATGTCAAAGAGATAATCAGAAACGCAATTCTCAAATTTTTGAATAAATGATCTTGAATGATTCAATTATAAGCTAGAATCGTGATCTTACATTTTGTCCAACAATTGACTCGAGAAACCTTTCTCGAAGTCAAGTCCTACTTACTTCTTACCATCATGAATCCGAATGTCATGTTGAGCGACGCGGAACTTTGCCCGCTTTCTCTAATCAATATGGGACGAGAACATCATCTATGAAAGTATTTGGTTTTTCTAGTAATTCTACGATACCGGCATATTATTTTCTGCTTGCAGTTTTTGTAAGGATAAGATGTGGTCCCTTTTAAGGTTTAACAGGTCAGAACAAAATGATAAATGTCAAAAACTGATGGAACAGAAGCAGATGAAGACAGAAAGAAAGCGGGCCAGCTTGCAAATTCAGCTTCCTCAAACTGCCTGAAGCCCCTGAATTTACCAAGGTAGCGCCCACCACATTATGTCTCGGTCTGCTGCCTTCATGACCCAGATGTAGGCCCACTCGTCAATACTGAATAATGAATCTGAAGAATACATTCTATTTGGTGAGTAAAACAGAAATTTTGCACATAAAAAGAATAAAGAAAAAAGTACACAGGAACAAAAGGTGCTAAATTATGGAGTAAACAGAACGGAAAATGCGTGGTCCGTATCAGGAGCACACAGAAGTGAAAGACAAATGCGAATACGTTTCATCGATCATCGTTTTGAGAGGAGAAGAGTCTGATCATCTTCGACAGCAATGCGTTGAGGTCACTAGTCCAACACTACTGCAAGTTCTGCCAGGCAACTACATGCATCTTCATGTAAAGAATGGGAAAGATTAACCGTAATGATTGCCAATATCACAATTTCTCGATGGCAAATTTTGCAGTATCACATATCCACAAAATAAATAAGAGTCCGTGAATTACACATAATAGATTTTTATATGCTACATAATCCACAACTCAAATGATGCTTGGGATCAAAAGACTGGACAGCCTTCAACGACGACTCCTTTAGCTGTGGGGCAAGAGGCTAACGGACATCCATCAGGATCTTCACCCCACCAACTGAGGCTAACATGCTTCATTCCCAAACACATGTACAGGAGGACGGCCATGAAGGCCAACCCGGCATCAAGTGCACCCGATAGCACATAATTATGGCGACTCCACCAACCTCGATAGTATCGGTAAGCAATGAATCCCGATAAAAATCCGACGATGATCCAACTGGTGTAGTTAACGGCAGTAGCTGGTGGCATGCTTACTGTAGCACCGAGGAGCACGGGCATTGTGATTAGTCTAATCCACTCCTTGTCCGGAAAGGCCTTATTCGCAAGCCAAACAAGGAAAGGAGCTATGGCCCCTACCAAGAAGAACCAGTTGATGGCGGAGTATTGGCCGAGATCTCCAAATATCCTGCGGGGCCCTATCAGACCCCAAAGGACTGAAGCATAAAAAAATACATGGTCACCAGGGCAAGTCCACGGACTGCCTGCTGGAAGCAGCTCCCGGTTACATATGTCAGGGATTGTATCCATGAGCCACCACGCCGTTCCGAGATGCACTAATGCTGCAACGATGGTACCAACCACCTGATAGAAGATCAATTCTTACCTTAAGCGAAGAAAGGGAAAAGAACGAAATACCAGTTTTACAACAATTTCGGGCAGATTTCAAGTGTACAGAGATTAATTTTGGGGAAATCATTTCTTCCCCTCACCAGGAACCCATCAAACTAATATATAGTTCTATCACTTATCTTGGACGGGAAAAGATGAGACAAACCTGTGCCACAAACATCGCTCGAGGAGGAATTTTCATGTAGTGCCCCAGCTTGAAGTCTTGTAAGAATGTGATCCCCTGCTTCATACTGATGTACCCATAGACTTTAAACAGAATGTTCGCAACTGGGTATCCAGGGTAAATGTACCCAATGATAAATTCTGTGATGACATTTAAAGCTGGTGTCTGACCAACACACATGGAACTAATGAGAATATGCAAAGTATTAAGCTTAGAGTAAGAGCAAAGTATACGTAGTAATCATTGCCCCGCATATTTATGTATTCTATTGTAGAGAACGACTCATATAACATGTGCTTTAAAATGATGAATCTGCACCTGATTTGTCGTTGCAGTGATGACTCCAATAGGAAGAGTGAAAAAAAAGGCAATCGCACATGCTAGCAGAACACCCCACCACGGTAGTTGAAGCTGATCCTTGAAATACTGACATGTAAATATAGTTGCCGCAATATTTACCAAAAGAATACAAGTAAACCACCATTCAGGGACTTGCTTGTATCTTCTCATCAGCTTGGTGTGTATATCCATCTTCTTCTCACTAAAGGCAGACTTGCTCAGCAGCCATATTTCTCTAAAACAATAGCATAACACTAGATCATCTATCTGAGCATGGTAAATAAAAAATTGGAATTCAACTGGATTGGCAACAACCAAATAACTCTGTTCAATTAAAAGGTGTGGTGTCATATCAGAATAATGTCGTTTGTAGTAGAACTTAACCAACAAAGGAAGAACACCCTCCTACGAGGCCAACTATAGGTCCAGGAACAAGACAACTATAACACAGATCTCAAAGAACTGAAGCACTACTTGACTAGTTGACTTGGATTCTTTTTCTTTTTTTTAATTGAAAAGACATGGGATATAGAAGTGACCAAAATAATGCTGATACATGAACGTAAAATTTGCCATTTTG